AGTTCCTAAAATGGCTGCAGCTTCACCACTGAATCATACGAGGAACGGGTATGTCGACCGTATGGATGTTCCTATAAATGTATAAACGCAGTTGTACTTCTAAGTATCTCCTTGTTTCGGCTTCTGGACTTTCTAGCTTAATTTGCAATCAACAATTGAGGAGCAACATCCAGGAAAAGTTTCTTGTTGGTGAATATTTGTATTTTTCAGTTAAAAAGATTTTCTGTTTTGAAACAAAAAAAAAGTTTCTTTTGGCCCGTGAAAGTTCCTTTCGAGTAAGTTGTTAACTCGGGAATCTGAGAAGCTAGAAAACTGGAATTTCCAGGGGATGTTCCTCATCCAACTACGTATGAGCTCAAACCCAGCCCCTGCACGGTACCCAAGTACGAGCCCGTGAAAGTTTTTTGCTGGTAAGTCGTTAATTCGGGAATTTGAAAAGCTAGAAGACTGTAATTTTAAGAAAATGTTCCCGTCCACGTAGGTGTTAATAAGTTCAAAGTCAGCCCCGGTTGTACATGGTCCCTAAGTACAGGTCCGTAAATTTTTTGCGGGTAAGTTGTTAACTCGGGAGCCAGGATAGCTAGAAAGCTGAAATTTTAAGGGTGTGTTTCCTGACAGTCCTGGCAGTCAGTCTTAACTCGTTTAGCTAGAAGCCTTTGCAGGAAAAGGCGGTGCCGTTAGTGACAAAAGCCTGCAGAAAACTGTACAAAAAACACATCTTCGTACCGGCAATCAGTGCGCTGGCCATTTATTCGTTTTTGGAAAAGTTGCAAAAAAACCTTAACTCTGTATACTTCAGCTTCTATAGAAGGGAAAGAATGCTTAGCTTCTTCCCTTCTTATTTGGCCCATAAGAGAGAGCAAGAAATTCGAATGTGTGATTTGGATTACAAAGTTCGGGCAAAATTAACCATTTCAGTGTAAAATTGTTGGGGTACTCTCTTCAGAGGTTGTTTCGAGGGTAAGCTGGAGCTGGTTTGGGCTTTTTAGCACATGATGGAATCATTTAAAGATAGCGATATGAAGAAACACAAAGTGATTGAATTAACACTACTGACTTGAGCGTGGAGGAGCGTTATTTAAATATATGCGGCTTAATGGACTGAAATATTCACTAATATAAAATGTATGTACTTCACTAATGCACTTTTTTAGCATATTTTTTTATATTTTGTATACAAATATCATCACCAGTATCTTTGTCGCCGCTGCATCAGTTCGTGCAGAAAAGGGATGAAGAATGCGACAACTGAAGCTGATGAGGCGAAAACTTGTTCAGAAAAACAAACAAACAAATTAACAAAAACTTATTGTATTGTGTTTTGACGTAAATAACGCAACATTTATCAAATGAAGTAGCTGATTCGAAAAGCAGCTGCCAAAGACAAACAACGTAAACATCATCGTGGTGGCCTAGTTACTATTTGTTCACTTTGGCATCATTGTTCTGGATTTGGAGTGGACCTAGTTTCCCGGCAAGTGTTTAGAGTTGACTTTGTCATTCACTTTCAACTCGGCAACTAATGAAGTTGGGAGGCAAAAATTTTAGGAACATATTCGTACCCCGTGCGCCATCTTCCCGTTTTAAAATCTTCGCTCATATGTGCCAAGACCTCGTGTACAGACCTCCGAAATAATATGCAAATTTCTTTGACGGGAAACAGTTTCGAGAACCAGACAAGGTACAAAACTAAAACTTTGCAGGGATATTCAAGGGCAAGCTAAAGATTTCAAATTCAGCTTTTGCGCACGTTGGTGCAGCGCGTACGATCACGTCAAAGCTGTGATCCTAAACATATGATTCTTATAAATTAAAACTTTTTGATCACATTTTCCCGACGGGTGAAGAAAGTTGCTGCTCATTTGACAAACGGTGGATGGTTCCCATAGGAATACAAGCGATCACTCGGACTTTTTCCATAGAAGCTGCGCGCATACGTAGACAGTGGTTGCTAATTAAAGCCTGCACTCAGAATCAGAGGGTCTGGTATAGCTGCATTAGGCACGTAGGAGTGTACAAATAATATCACTGAAATGTGGTACCCAACTGACATACGAGCGGTTTTAGAAATGTTAGCAATTGCGTTTTTCGAGCTTTTAAAAGCATTTATTCAAAACTGCCCGAGAAGTGGCATTTGATCACTTTTACAACATAGAATTTGAATTTTTATGATATTTCCGTTTGTGGTTTTTCTGGTTTTCCAGTGCCGAATCAAGGAGGCTCAGACGCTCATCTTTTTGTCGCAAACGTGGCATTTGTTTTTCCACCAGTATGAGTTCGTACGTGCTTTTCCAAATGAATTTTTTGTCTGAAGTCCAAAAGGCAGTGATGGCATTTGAACGGCTTTTCACCAGTATGAGTTCGCATGTGTGCTCGCAAGTTTGATTTTTGGCTGAAGCTGGAATTGCACTGACCGCATTTGAACGGCTTCTCGCCCGTATGAGTTCGAATGTGTATTCGCAAGGCTTTTTTCTGCCCGAAGCTCGAATTGCAGTGATCGCATTTGAACGGCCTCTCACCAGTATGAGTTCGCATGTGTGCTCGCAAATGTTGTTTCTGGCCGAAGCTCGAATTACAGTGATTGCAATTGAACGGCTTCTCTCCAGTATGAGTTCGCATGTGTGTTTGCAAACTTTGTTTCACCCTGAAGCTCGAACTGCACTGACCGCATTTGAACGGCTTCTCACCTGTATGAACTCTGCAGTGCTTCCGTAAATTTCCCAATATTCCGAAAGTCTTATTGCATTGTGTGCAGTTGTATGGCTTTTCGCCAGTATGCTTTCTTAAGTGAATCTTCAGGGGTTGAGTAGCAAAAAAGATTTTACCGCAGTAACTGCACACGAGTGAGCGTCTACCACTGCCAGTTCTTTCTTGGCTGTAACCAGCATATTCAGTGCTTTCTCTTGCTGTAGCTAATGTAGCCGATGTTGCCGAATGCTCTTGCGGGAGTGGTTGGTAGCTGTAAGTGCAACTGGATGTATGGTTCTGTGTCTGATTCTTTAACTCGACTGGGCTCGCAAGCTGAAAAGCTGTTAAGTACTTGCCTTTTCATTAACATAAAATAGTAACCCAGTTTTACTCGAAAAAAGAATTTGCAATTCAAATCTTTGGATAAAGGATTTTATCGAGTATTAATCCACATCCTCCTTATTTTCCATTTTATCTATTCCATTGTTTGTGAGAATGACGTAGTGAAAAATATCACCCTATTATCATGCTGAAGATGGAGTTTTCAATTCTGTCAGTAAGACAACCAATCCCTCTACGATTTGCACGTCATTTTGATGTCAATTGGTGCTGGCTGCCACTAGCCTGCTTCTAAGCAATCCTTAATAGGCGAACCTGTCGACAGCGCTGAGGGAACCACCGACAGAAGTACTTTCCAGTGTTTTTGCCTTCATAGAGAGTTCATGTAGAGGAAAGTTTCCTTACTTTGGTTACTGTTGTTATTACCATGATCGCAGATTATTATCATTTTTCTTATTTCTTCCATTCCCTTGTTTTTTGTCTTTAGATACGGCAGGATGAATCTCCTTCTTTGTGACTGAAAGCTATCAACCCTGCTTTATTCAAATTTTTTCATTTTCACTGTGCCTGTGTATGTGTAAGCGGAAATTAGAAGTTGTCTCAGAGAACTAATGAATTTCCGGCACCAAATATTCTTGAAACACTCATGTTGTCGTAGAATGTGTGGAGAAATTACAGTGAAAAGGCGGTAACTACCTTCAGTAAACACTGAGAAGACGAAAATTATCTGGACAACATAGGGGTCGTAGCCTGGGCGGGAGAGCAAAGATTCGGTTTGGAACGAGCTGCAAAAATGAGTGGAAGGGAGCAAATTTTGTCTAAAAGGACATTATACTTGAACCATGTCGCAAGCCATGTTTATAAAGATCTACGAGTTGCAATTCTGGAAAATGTTTTTTACCGAAAACCGTCTGCAGCAAAAAGTGAACAGAATGACTCGTCCAGATATGGCAAATGCCACCGCTCTATCAAAAGAGTACCATTACTGGCAATTTCTTTGTCCGAATTTTTATAAAAAGCACTTTTTGAAAAGATTACCGAGCCTTTGGCAGCCATCGACACCATTTGCATCAGCACAATGAACATCAAAAACATCAGCGTCTTGGAAGAGAAGCATCGAGTTATCCAATAAGCCGGGATCAGTCCCTTCCTCCGCGTCCTTCCTGGTAGAAGCATGAGACTCTTTTTCGCTTCCATCCACTCCAGTGGCACGTCGATCTTTCGGCACCTAATAACACTGATATAAAGTATAGCGGAGGTTCCCATCATATTTATTTCAGCATTGGAAGAGGCATAGTCTGGTTGCTATGAGAAGTAAAGACAAATTCAGAAGAGGGAGAGAAAGGGGGAGGGGAGCAAAGACCGAGGGATAAATATAATTTTTTCAGTGAAATAATATTTTTATTGTATCATGGCATCCCCATACAGGACTGGAAAGGTGGTTTGAGAATATGGAGCTGCAGACGATAAGTTTCACTGGCAACTGTTGGGGGCACAGCCCTTAACGCAAGTGTTTCCCGTCGAATGAAGGAGATGACGCACGAGCCTATAGTCAAAATTCCAACAAACTCCCAGGCGCAAACATTCCTGTTGATTCCGACGTGGCGTAATCCCTAAAACCATTCTTTGCTCTATGCTAATTAGACTTCCTTTCGATCTTCGGTTGAGGATAGTGGTAAAATTAGAGACGCTAATTCTGATATGTGTTAAAAAGAAATATACACATGAATGAAATTAGAAATATACATCCTAAACCGAAAAATATACGTATAAAATGTAAAGAATATATATATATAAAATTATATTAAAGGATTGGATGTTCACTACTCCTGTGTTTATGAAATGAAAAGCTGGGAGAAAGGTGCACCACAGATTACGATGGAAAGCTGGAAAAAAGGTGTATTACAGTTTGCGATGGAAAATATTACAGTGAGTAATCAAGAAGCGCTTGTCATTGTTGTACCAGTATTAATTATTGCCATATATACGCCCTTTGCAAAATAACCCAGGCAGCAAGTCTTCCAGGCTTCCGATAAAATGCATTTTTGCCCTAAATTTGAAACAGTCAGATAGTTAACAGTAATGGTTGTTGCT